CATTCGTATTCAGCGATGAAGTACACTGGGCATTCCAAGCACTCAAGACGGCCATGCTCATGGCACTCGTCCTTAGCATCTACGACCCCACCTTGCGAACGAGAGTGACAACTGACGCTTCCGACTATGGCATTGGGGCAGTCTTAGACCAACATGACGGCGACGACTGGCACCCCGTGGAGTATTTCAGCCACGGGGTGCCTCCCACCAATTCACTTGATGATGTAAGGAAGAAGAAGCTGCTTGCATTCGTGACGGCTCTCAAGCGATGGCGACACTTCCTCCTTGGGCGTCGTAGGTTCACATGGGTCACTGATAACAACCCGTTGACCTACTACAAGACGCAGGATATAGTGAGCAGCACTATCGGACGATGGATGTACTTCATTGGCCAATTTGACTTCACACCCAAAAAAACATATCGTCGGGCTCTCCAATCGCGCAGCAGATGCACGCTCACGAGGACCTGATCTTTGCGCTATGACACATCTTGCTTTCGCGTTCGACGAGGAACTCCAGCGGCACTTCATCCGGGGCTATGAGTCTGATCCGGATTACGCCACACTCTATACGTAGTTATCTTCGCATCACCCGCCGGGCAGGCATCATCGCATCGTCGACAGGTACTTGCTTCTCCAGTCGCGAGGCAAGGACTTATTGTGTGTCCCACCAGACCGTCGTCTTTGGACTCGCCTTCTCTGCGAGTATCACGACTCGTGACTCGCCGGCCACTTCAGAGTCAATTGGACTATCGCACGACTTCGGCACCAATTCCGGTGGCCCGACCTCATTACCAATGTCACTCAGCATCGCGACTCTTGTGAAGTTTGCCGACAAAGCAAGCCCCGCAACCGCAATCCCTACGACGAGCTGCGGCCGTTGCCTATCCCACGGGAACCCGGCCTCTCCATTGCCATGGACGTCACCGGCACGTCTGCCCGCGACCGCTTTGGGCGCTACGGCATCCTCACGGTTGTTGACCGATTGAGTAAATACGCGCGATTTCTTCCTTGCAAGTACTAAGCCACGACTCCCGAACTCGCGCGCCTCTTGCACACCAGCTGGATTTGCAGCCACGACGTACCGGAAGACATTGTTAGTGACCACGACACTCGTTCCATGTCGGCATTCTGAACTTCTCTCATGCAGGAATCCGGCACCAAAATGAAACCAAGTTTGGCTCGGCATCCACAAACGGACAGGCAAACGGAGCGGACACATCAAACCGCTCGAATGATGCTTCGTACTCTCATCGGTCTGGATCATAAGGATTGGGTTGACTGCCTCCGTGACATTGAGTTCGCCTACAACACTTCGTTGCATCCGGCGATCGGCGTGACTCCATACGAGTTGCACCACGGTGGTCGGAAAGGCCGTATCTTCGCTGATCTTTTCCTTCCATGAACAACCGACATAGACACCGCTTGCTCTCCCGCCTCCGTGTGGAAGTACAGGGAAATGCTGGCTCAAGCCCGTGCAAACATGCAAAGCCTCAAGTCCGCATGCAGCAGCAAGCCAACAGGCGTTGCGTGCCATGTCACATCCGTGCCGACGATCTGGTTTGGGTCTCCGCAGAAGAGCTTGCGCTCGAACAGGATGTTTCACCCAAACTACTCTTTAAGTGGTTTGGACCATGGACCGTCCTTTCAACCGCAGGCGATGAGCCCGACGGCCCATCCTTTGTGATCGAAATCCCTCCCCATCTGCCGACCCATCCAGTCTTTTACGCCTCGAAGCTGGCACCATACACACCAGCTAAGAGTGACGACTTCCCGGGCCGACGATCGCAAGGCCCTTCGTCTATGGATGGTCATTAGGAAGTCGATCGCGTCATCACGGATCACAAGTACTGCAACAAGCCTCGACAGTACAAAGTTACCTTCAAAGCATGCGATCCTGACGACACTCAATGGATTTCACGAGCAGATTTTCAATCATCCGCACCGCTAATCTACACTCATTACGAACAACAAAGACTAGCTAAGGATGCTTCACAACCTGCCCCTCCCACCTGTACTTTGGTCCCTCCCTCCGATAGGCAGCTTCGCCCTTGCAGGTAAGCTCGGTCTTTCAAGGAGGGGGGTGTGTGGGTTATTGCGAATCCACACGTGCCTGCAGGGCCCGACCAGACAGAAAAAAGGGCCCTCCAGGCCCTGTGTCGTTTCAGCCTAAAAACCTGAAAGAAGGGCCATTTTCAGGCCCTCATAAAGTCGACCTGCCCTGAAACTTAGGCGCCAGGCCAGGGTGCAGCGCCGACATTTTGAGGCCTGTTTCAAGAGAGTGTTTGTTTGAACTTCAACGCCAGGGCCTGGCACAATTCGGCATGGGCAAGAGCAGCCTCCCAGGCCGGACCAGCACTATATAGTACTGGTCCGGCCTGCAGGCTGCTGGCAGTTCACGGGGAGTTCACAGGCACTTCACGGGCCGTTCAGGAGGCAGTCTTCAGGATTCGGCCGCAGAACTCTGGAGGAGCGCTGCAGTAGTAGTAGCTAGCGCTAGGTGTAGTCTTCTGCGCTGGGCGCTGTAGGAGCTTAGAGTAGCGTTAAGAGAGAGAGAGAGAGAGAGAGAGAGAGAGAGAGAGAGAGAGAGAGAGAGAGAGAGAGAGAGAGAGAGAGAGAGAGAGAGAAAAAAAAAGCGTCCTGAAAGAGAGAGAGAGAGAGAGAGAGAGAG